GGCCCCAGAACTTATTCTTCCTATTTACTGTGTCATTCAAAAGAGGAGGAATTTTGAAATCCAGCCAGGCACATGTTGTCAGGTTCCCCTATCCCAGGAGTTGTCAGTGTTCTTTGATGAGGGTTCCGTTCTGCTCCTCAGGTACAGTTCTCTAAATCATTGCTTTCTTCTGTTCTTGGTTCTGTTCTGGCCTCTGGGCTTTGCCCCCTGAGACGTTTCTTCCTTTCACTTAAGAAATATCCTGTGTTTGCAACTGAGTATCCTTTTTAACCTGTTTCCCTTAGAAAGGTGAGAATTCAGAAGACTCTTGTCTTAAGCTGTCTCTTTGTTGCACTGGTACAAAGCAATATATAGCACTGTTTGAAAGCACTAATAGTGCTTTCATTAGTACAACTCTCTTTAAAAATTGTGGATTTTGTATGAATTTCATTGGAGTTCACTATGTATTTACCTCCATGTTATTTCTTGATCATTTATCCTGTCTTTTGTTAACAGTTTCTTTATTGCAGCCTGAGAAGAACTTGCCTTTTTCTACCGCTGGTACTTTGTTCTCCTTGCTCCTGTATCTGAAGCATCTTACTTTGCCCTTTGCCTCATTCATCTTTGTATCTAGCACTTCACCTTATTAGTAGGACTAAGTAGAATGAAATTTCTCTTGATACTTAAACCGCTTAAAGTAATATTTAGGAATTTCTGAGATGTGCCTACTCTAGCCAGTCTAGCACACCAGAAACCATTATATTTCCTGAATGGCAATAACCACTAATCGCCTCCCTCCATATCTCTCCCCCCCCCCCACCACCAATCCAAGTGATTATCAGCTAGGGGTTAGTTCTGGAGCAAGGATCAGCAAGCTATAGTCCACAAGCCAGATCCAGCTGACTGTCTGTTTTTATTTCACCTATGAGCTAAGAAGTTTTTTTTACATTTTTAATGATTAAAAATGTTCAAAAGAGGAATAATACTGTATAACATTTGAAAACTGTATAAAATTCAAATTTTAGTGTCCATAAACGAAGCTTTTTTGTTTGTTTTGTTTTGTTTTTGTCTTTTTCGTGACCGGTAAGGGGATCGCAACCCTTGGTGTGGTGTCAACCACACCGCACTCAGCCAGTGAGCGCACCGGCCATTCCTATATAGGATCCAAACACACGGCGGGAGTGTCACTGTGCTCCCAGCGCCGCACTCTCCTGAGTGCGCCACGGGGCCAGCCCCATAAACGAAGCTTTATTGTGACAAAGCCTTGCTCAATTATTTACATACTGTCTGTGGCTGCTTTCTTGCTACAGTGGCAGAGTTGAGTAGTTACAACAGCAATCACATGGCCCACAAAGTTAAAATATTTACTGTCTGGCCCTTTATAGAAACAATTTGCTCACCTCTGTTCTAGAGTGATTAGACAGCTGGTGTGATTGTTGGCCTGGTTATACTTGAAGGTGCATTAGTCAGGTTGGAATCCAGAGTTCTCTTCCCTTCAGTGCAGCCTCTGCTTGTGCTCCTGCTGTCAAACTTGTTGTATCTAAAGACGTCTCCTCTCGGTGTGTGTACTCTCTCTCTCTCCTTTTCTGTGGAAATATTTGGTATTAAGGTCCATTACCTTTTTTGGCTCTCTTCCTGTGGTATCCATTCTCCTTGCTGGTACTAAAAGTGTCATAATATTTTTAAAGTGAACTTTAAAGCTGTGTCAGAAAATGGAATGATGATTGTAAATGAAACAATTTGTTCAGATTATTGCCCCTTGCAGATATCCTTTTTTTACTTTGTTGGCGGGAAAATCAAGACCAAGGTGAGGGAAAACATTAGGCAAAGAAGGATCATAAAAGATTTACTTGTAATACATACAAGAGATAAGCCAGGGGAGCTTAGCATGTCCTCTGCCTCTTAACTATTCATATACCCAGTACACTCCCACTAGCAGCAGCTCTCCTTATACAAGGTGGTTCACAAAGGTAAGAATGAGGTAGATTGGTGTCAACTATTCAAACCATGTAGGCTCTTACCAAATTTGGTAATGCTCATGTTCAGTTAAGAGACCAAACTGTCACAGCTAAGATAGCCCGTAGGGCTGCATCTAGTGATATTTGTAGCCTTTTGTCTGTGCAGCTTTTGTGGGACTCCTAAAAGCCATTTAATTTCTGCTCCCTTCCCTCGCCCCTCTAGCTTATTCAGCCCCACTCATAAGGCAGAACTCACTGGATAATAAAGGTGTTATGATGAAAGTGAATTGTGACTTTCAAAGGCAGCCTTCCCTATGTATGTACTTAGTCAATGGCATATTTTTCTGGTCTTGTTTGGGATTTATTCAGATGTTTTGCATTCCCTTGAAGGTTTTTGATGTGTTTGTGGCTGGTGAGTTAGGCTATGTATTGGAGTTAACATTCTGTTCTCTATTATATCTCTTGTAAACTGCATATACTGTAGTAACTCTTCAAACTTTTCCATTCCTCTGTGAAGCTTTCTGGCTTCCACACTTGAGTGCACTAAGGCTGTTACTGTCTCTGCTCTGTTATATCTGTGCATACCTCCTCTACCAGTTGAGCTGTGTGCACTTTCTAGGAATTAATTATTTACTGTCATTTTGCTGATTGGTTGCTCTTATTATTTTAACAAAGTAATTTGCAAGAAAGTGGTATATACTTTACTGGCCAGCTGCCAAAAAAAACACCCACATACCAAAAAAACACAACTTGGAATCATGATAGAGTGCAGTGTTTGCATCATGAGGGGCATGTGGGAAACTGATATATAAAACAACAAAATGAGGATGTGGAAAGTTGTTTTTATGAAAACTGTGTCGAATGTTTAGGAACTATTTGATAAGGACAAGTCCCTAAAAGAATATCTGTGAAGTGGCCTGGGCAAGACAACTGTGAAAGACTGGGGAGAAATTGTAAAAATCTAGGTTTCTGCACTCTGTATCAGAGGGCCCATAGTAAAAAATAATAGCCCAAATCAAGAGACTTGTGAATGAGTATGTTCTAAGATGTTTAGTTAAGATAATATGGTTATTTATCTTATTTTTTGTTTCTTTGCTTTAACTGATTATTTTCAGTTAATCAGCTGCTAAGACTGATCATGGGGGTGGGGTTGAGAGTACTTTTGTTTCATTGGATTTTTTTTAATATCTAAAAAATAATGTAATTTACTATTGTAATAGAATTTTCTGTAGCAAGTATGCATTAATTCACCTTTTAGTTTATTAAATTTCTTGCTATTTTAATTTGCAGTTTTATTGCCTTACAACTTTTTATGCTGTTCTGTGGTTCATCTCTTATTGCTTTAAAACTCACATACAAGGATCTTCAAAGATTTTGATTTTTTTTTTCTTTTTTGTCTTTTTTCGTGACCGGCAATGGATCGCAACCCTCAGTGTCGCGCCCGTACCGGACCGGGACCGGCAACGGGATCGCAACCCTCGGTGTTGCAGCCGCACCTCGCTCAGCCAGTGAGCGGCCGGTCTGTATGTGGGATCCGAACCCTCGGCGGGAGCGCCGCCGCGCTCCCAAGCGGCACACTTTAGCAGTGCACCACTAGGTCTGTATGTGGGATCCGAACCCTCGGCGGGAGCGCCGCTGCGCTCCCAAGCGGCACACTTTAGCAGTGCACCACTGGGCCGGCCCAAAGATTTTGATTTTTCAAGATGAGGACTTTCTTACAAAACTTTGGAAATCTGAGTACTTTTTATTTGATGATGTTAATTTTTTAAATCCAGTTTTGAAGTATTAATACTTTTGATAGATGATAAAGCTTAATTGGGGAGATGTTTTTAATTTTTTAATTGGAGAATTTTTAAAGTTAATTGTCCCTTGGTGTGTGCATCTTGTATAGTTGAAGTCCATTTCATGTACTGAATTCTTCCCGTAAAGAAATAAATATATGGGCCGGCCCGGTGGCGCACTCAGTAGAGTGCGGTGCGTGGGAGTGGGGCGGTGCTCCCGCCGAGGGTTCGGATCCCATATAGAGTCCGGTCCACTCACTGGTTGAGCGCGGTGCGGGCGCGACACCGAGGGTTGCGATCCCGTTACCGGTCACGAAAAAAGACAAAAAGAAAAAAAAAAAAAAGAAATAAATATATGAAGTAGATATAGAATCTATTACCATCTGAATCAGCTAGGTTTCAGCAGAGGACAGAGAGTAGTTTTGGGGCTGGCTTTTTCGCTCAACTGGTTAGAGCACAGCCTTGTAACACCAAGGTCAGGGGTTCACATTCTCCATACCAGCCAGCCACCAAAAAAAAAAACCAAAAAAAAGTTTCCAAGAAGAGTAGTTTTGGAACTGAAAAACAATAGCATAATTATTGACTTTTATTTATTTATTTATTTATTTTGTCCTTTTTGAGACCGGCCGCACCGCGCTCAGCCAGTGAGTGCTGCGAGCGCACCGGTCATCCCCATATAGGATCCAAACCTGCGACAGGAGCACTGCTGAGCTCCCAGCGCTGCACTCTCCCGAGTGCACCACGGGCTCGGCCCTAATTATTGGCTTTTAAATAGCTATTACCTATTAAATTTATTTTTTCATTGTCTATTAGTGATAAAGGAAGATTTGTTTGCATAATTAAATTTAATTTCAAGACCCTCATTTCTTTTACATATGCTTTTCTGACCATAGCAGCATACATAGATCCTCTGCATCACTAATTTGCCATCATATACTGGCATTTAGTGTCATTTTAAGTTTCTCTTCAGCTTTTTAAATGTTTATCCTTTCACTTGTATTTGTTTTTGCTAATGCATTGGATGGATGGTGGGACTGGGAAAGTTCTGTTCTTAGAGTTTGAATTTTACTACCATCCTTGCCTAGTACCTTATAGTTAATCGCCTACGGCTAAGTACCTTGACTTTTCTGAAAGTTGGATATTTTTTAATGCTTTCTTATAAAATGCAATATCCCTCAAAATAATGCCTTTGTTGATATCAAAAGGGTTTTATTTTTCATGTTGTCCTTAGTGCTAAAATGCTCAAAAATAAACCTGGGGAAATTAATTTCCTTTTCATTAGTAGGTGCTTCTAAGGAAGGAGGTGCTGGAGCAGTTGATGAAGATGATTTTATAAAAGCTTTTACTGATGTCCCTTCTATTCAGGTAAGGCTACCAGTAAAGTGGCACTCCCCATAATATTGCCTTTGTGCCTATTCATAGAATTATTTGTTTTTGTCCCTTTTTAAAAATTCTTTTTTCCTTAGATGACTATATAATTGAAATATTACCAAGCTATTATTTGTGGGTATAATTTAATTTTCAAGTGATTTTTCAGTGCGGCTGAAATAAAATTGAATCCATATTATTGAATCACATTAAATTGCAATGTCCAGCCTAGTTCACATTCTTGAACTAATGAGTTTTGAGCCCAGAGAATGTTGGAGATTAGTTGGCAGTAGAAATTTGGAAGTTATTCACATGGAAGTAATTGAAGTAGTCAGAGTGGACATCCCCATAAATAAAGAGTGTACTTCTATGTCTTAAAAACACATAAAATGTTGTATTGTACATAACATTTTACAACCTTTTTACTCACTACTGCTTTTTAGGTTTTTCCACAATGTAAAATTTGTGATTCTAGTTCACTTATTTATTCTGTTGATGGACATTTTAGGTTGTTTCTAACATTTTGCTATTCCATATTATGCTGCAGTGAAGATTTTTGTACATATGTCCTTGATTATTTGTAGGAGTTTTCTTTAAGGTATAAACATTGAAATGGAATTGTGTAGTTATAATCTTTAAATTTACTAGTTGTTACTCTGTAGGGTTATTATACCTGTGAGAAAGGTACAATAGTTCTCATTTCCTCACATCTTTGACAACATTTGATGTTATCCCTCATAGTATTTTTTTCCAGTATGATGGGTATGAATGCTCAATGTTCTTCAGCATGTCTGTTTGAGAATAACTCATTGCTTTACTTGCTAACTATCTTCCACTGTCTTGTATTATCTTTTTAGCTCTCTAAAATGAAAAGTTTTCCTTAAGCTATTGAAGATCTTTAAAAGTTGTGAAAAGGCTTTAAAAAGCTTTCTGAAATCTTTAAAAAAACTATTCTGATTTCAGTGTATTTTGTCCCTTTTGAGATATACTTTTTTTTAATTCAAGATATTTACTTTTTAAATAATAGGAAAAACATATCCCACTCCTCTTTACAGGCCTTTCATATAAGGGAAAGATTAGTAGCATAGGGACAATTAGTAAAACTTAGTTGGACTCGAGCATTTTTTATTGTTCTATATATTCTTGTCAGACTGGTAACCTCACAGTATCAGTGAAGCCAAGGGCTACTCAACTATATGGAGGGAGAAAAGCTGTTTCACAGTTAGCCACTAGCAGCAGTGGTTCCTTGCAACTGACCCTCCATCACCCCTACCCCCGTCTGGAACATCTGTTTTTTTTTTTGTTTGTTTTGTTTTTTGTCTTTTGTCTTTTTCTGTGTCCGGCAACGGATCGCAACCCTCAGTGTTGCCCCTGTACCGGACCGGGGACCGGCAACGGGATTGCAACCCTCGGTGTTGCTCCTGTGCCTCGCTCAGCCAGTGAGCGGGAACCGGTCTGTATGTGGGATCTGAACCCTCGGGCGGGAGCGCCGCCGCGCTTCCCAAGCGGCGCACTATCCAGTGCGCCACCGGGCCGGCCCCTGGAACATCTGTTTTATAAGTAGCGACTGTCCTAAGTCCCTAACCTCATTTTTTGAGGGTCCCTTCAATATCCTTGCCTTAATAAAATCTGGGGTTTTTTTGCCTTTCTTGAAGCTCTTTGAATGGGAGTCTATGTATTACTCTTGACTCACATGCCCTTAGTAATTGAAAGTAGGTTTATTGTGCTTGCTGTCCTCATTATCACTTGGTGACCATTATTCCTACATCTACTGACATGAAATTCATGCTATCTGGCCAGTCTCCTTATTATTGTCATGTAGTGATCTGGACAGCATTCCTCTGTTACCTAGGTTTGAATCCCAGCTCTACCACACAAACTGTGTAACCTTGGGCACATTATTTAACCCTCTGTACTTCAGTTTCCTCATCTTAAAATAGGAGTTATTAGTACATACTCAAAGGATTGTTATGAGGATTCGATATGACAGTTAGCTATTATTATTATCCTAAACTTTGACACGTTCTTGATAACTTTGATTTCCATTTGGATGACCCATCAGTTTCTTGACCTCATCCCCATCTTCACCTTAGTTATCCACTTCAAAGTCACACACTGGATTTTGATGTTCCCTATATGTTAATTGCTATTTCCAGAGTCATTAATTGAAACATCTCACTACTGACCATGATCTCCTTGCTTTTTCAAGTACTCTGAAAACTCCTTTTCAGTGACTTCAAGGGTCTTCAGTTCATTGTCTTTTCTACTCAATATCAATTTATCATCTCTCACTTCTACTTTCCTTGTCACCTACGCTTTGATACAATAGTTTCTTGTGGTAGGGCTGCACATCATGTACTACAATCCCTTCTCTGAATTTTTTTTTTAATACCCATTTCACAAAACTATAACTCTAGATTTCCAACTCTATATTTTCTCTATGCTCATAGTGTAGAAACAGTGCTGCTGGAGAGAATCACATCTTAGGGCACATGATTTTTAGTAGAATTCTCATAAAATAAGCTTTCAACAATCTGACATCTTTACAGTGTTACTGTGATCAGGTTACTTTTCTGCTTTTGTCAGCTATCAGGCATGTTTCTATTTTCTCTAGCCATCAGCCTGGCTCTCTCTTCTCAGTACATGACCTTGCCTCTTATTTTACTAAATAAATAGTCACTATTAAATGTTAATGGTGACTATTAAAGTATGTGCTGCATCTTTCCCCTCTGTACATTCCTGCTGTCCTGTTGCTCCAGGAGCAAGGTCCTTCCTTCTTCAAAAGCCAGCACATCCACCAGTACTCCAAAGCCCATTATTTCCTACTTTCTTAACACATTTACACAATTAGTGATCTCATGTGAGTTCAAGTTCTTTTCTAGAACCTTCCCACTGTCTGTTAAATCTGGCTGGGTTCCTCGATTTAAAGGAAAAAAAAGTCAAAGTCTCACTGGACTCCATATCCTCCAGATATTGCTCTTTATTTTGGCCCTCACCATCAGCCTTTCCAAAATAGTTGTCTGTACTTGCTGTTTCCATATTTTCACGTCATTCACTTCATCCCACTCCTTTCCATTGAAACAGGTCTTGAGTAGATCACTGACCATCTTCATGCATCAAAATCAACCAGTTTAAGTGTTTTTCTTGATTTTTAGCAGTATTTTACACTGTCGACTACATTCACTGTTTTGTTATGGTTTTTTTTTCAGTGCTCGTAATAGAATGTTCTTCCAATTTTTTCTTCCTACCTGTTTGTCCACTTCATCCCTGTCTTCTTTAAAGGTACACCCTTCTCTACGTGGCCATTGAATACTGAAATTTCTTAAGGGTTAGTTCAGGGCCCTCTCTTCTCACTCTCCATTTTCTTACTGATTCACCTCCTTCAAACAGTTCCCACCTTTATGTAGATAATGCCCACGTTTTTATCTCCAAGCCAGACCTCTCCTGAGCACCAAAATAATGTATCTACTGTGATTGTTTACTTGACATTTCCTTTTAGATGTCTCAGAGACATCTCAAACTCAACCTGTCTGAAATTGGAATTATGATCTTCCCCTCGAAAACCTAGTCTTCCAGTATTCTGTATGTGGAAACCATTACTTACTAAGTTACAAAAGTTAGAAACCTAGGAATCATTCTACTGCAACAGATGTCTAACTTAGTGGTTTTCAAACTTTTGTTGCTTGTATACTCCCCTAAAAGCATGTTTAAAAAATTATGTACTTCCTCATTGAAGTAAATTTTTGAGTTCACCCTTATTTTTCCTCGTTGGGAGAAAGGGGACCCTGCATTATATTCCAGGACAATGCATCATAGTAAGCTTAGGGATAGTAGAGGGACCTGCCTTTCCTCTGGAAAATGGCAAGAGGGCTATTGTGAAGGGGAGGTGGGAGGCAGGAAAGAACAAGCTAAGACGCTTCTAAGAGTCATTCTCTAACAGAAAGTTATCTGGTTCCCCTCCTACCTCTTCAGCCATATCTCATTTCTTGCCTCCCTTTGTGCAAGTGCTCCCCTTCGCTCTCTCCCTCTCCCCCCTTTTCCCTCTCTCCCTCTTCCTCTCTCTTCCCCTTCCCCTCTCTTTTCCCCCCAACCCTAACCCAAAAAAGAAATTTAATAGCTGTTGAAAATGAAAGATATAAGTAGGGCTGTTTGATGCAGGGACTCAGATGTTATAACCAGGACTCCATTTCTCTTTATCTCTCATTTCTAATTCCTCTGCATTGTCTTCCCTCATGGTCAACAACATGGTTGCAGCTATTCTAGCCTTATACATACTTCACTACTCTCTGCTTCTTTTCCAGTTGATCCTGTAAAACTTATGGGATTCACATGCCCATCTCTGAACGTTGACTGTGATGTAAGGAAATACTCTGCACTGATTGACCTAGGCCTACGTCGTTGGCTTTTCTCCTTAGTCCCCTTTGCCCTCTTTTCTCCGGTATTCCTGCCTTCTTTGAATTTCTTTCTGTCACAGTCTTTTACATGCTATTTACTCTCCAGGGAAAGCAAATCTCTCTCTGCTTGGCCTAATGATGTTCTATTCGTCCTTAAGCTCTCAGCTCAAGCTTGATTTTTCTGACTTGGTCAAACCCACTATTATATATAGACTTTTCACTTTTGAAGTACCTGTATGGTACTTCCTATTTGCAATTTCATATTTTATGTGATTTGATTAATTTTTAAGATTTCCCTGACTAGACTGTAAGCACCAGGTCAATTTTTGCTCACTGTAGTATCTCTAGGGCTTAGCAGAGACTTTTCACTTTTGAAGTACCTGTATGGTACTTCCTATTTGCAATTTCATATTTTATGTAATTTGATTAATTTTTAAGATTTCCCTGACTAGACTGTAAGCACCAGGTCAATTTTTGCTCACTGTAGTATCTCTAGGGCTTAGCGTAGTGCATCTCTGTTATGTGAATATTTGTTAAATGAATGAAAGAATAATGATATTGTGTAGCTGTTTAGAAAATGGTTGGCTCCAGAGGACACAAAGCATATCACTCTCCTGGCTACAGTCTATCATGACACAGGAGAGAAAAGCAAAACTAATTTAAAACATCAGTTTTATTTTTTTTTTGCAATATTGTGTAATAAGTATATGGATGCAATAGGTCATCATATACTTGAAGTCATTTTGAGAAATTAAGCCTATTTTTATTCTTAGATATTTGCATCTTGTTTTTAGATTACAAAGCATTTTAAGAGTATATTTGAAGTTACTCATGGGGGAGAAATAGTAAAAGGGGTAACAAGGAAGTAAGGCAGACAGATAAATTAAAGCATTTATTTTATTGTCTCTAATGTATTTCCATCCTCTATTAAAAAATGGTGTTGGAATGGAAAACAATCTTATTACTTGAAGGATTATTTTGAACATCAGGGCATAATTTTGATATTGTTTATGGCAAGAAATATTATTATAATTCTGAATCTTTTTTTTAAGATCTATTCTAGTCGAGAACTTGAAGAAACTTTAAATAAAATCAGGGAAATTTTGTCAGATGACAAACATGATTGGGATCAACGTGCCAATGCAGTAAGTTTTTGTTTTCTTATTCTCTTTTTTTCAGCATTCCTTTTCAAAAACATGGAAATCGAGTCATAGTACTATCTTATAAAATAGTGTGAAAGGTAACATTTCTTTCTGGAAAATTTTGAGATAATAGGCATTTTCTGATTTAGGGCCAATTTTTATTCTGTTTTTGCTGATCAGATGGTGTCTTACCCCACCCATTTGGTAACCTCTCCACATGTGCTATTTACTGACTGACCAGGAAAGTATGAGCTTCTCAGGGCCATCGCCTCTGTGGAGTTACATAGTTGTCCAAAAGCACCGTCCTCAAGTTATATAAGGTTTTCCAGTAGAGCATTCACTTCACCTCCATGCTCAATATTTTCATAATATAGACATAAATTTACAACAGTATGTCTATTTATCTGGCTCTTTTCTTTTTTCTTATGAATGTGATGAATATTTTTACTCCTGATTTAAAAAAAAAAAAAGGAATGTCCAGGTATCCTTGAGTTAAGAATATTTTATTTAGCCTAAATTCCTTGAAAAAAATATTTTATAAATTTTTAAATATTTTCATTAACAATGGACTGTATATTTTATTTTAAAGTTTGCAAACTTGTCAAATTTACATGACAAAGTTATTTGTCAAATGAATACCTCAGAGTCCTCAAGAAGCCAAAGAAGTTCCATTTTAAGACTCCCATCTGCTCTGAAAGCTTCCATTCTGGCTGATCAAGAATATCTCCATTTTGATGAATTAAGTCAAATATGGCCTTGTAACAAATACAGCTTTTATGACACTATGAATGAAAGATCACTTTTCATCTTCTCTTTGTTAGGAGGTTTGCATATCTTAAAATTTTGAAATACTGTTCTTGACAAAGAATATGTTGCTCCAAATTTGTTAAATATGATTTATATTCTTCAATTCTGCGATGAGTCTAATACAGAAATATCTTTGTCACAGGTGATCTGTGGAGAAACATGACAGATTAAATGTTGTCAGTATAAAACATGAACTTTATTGTTGAAGGTTTTTGTTTTACTTTGAAACTACCCATTTGTAAACAATGATGGTCTTCTAATTATTTATCTTTTTAATTAACAAAGTGACACAGGCTCATTGTAATAAGTGAAACAATGCAGAGGATTATAAAAAAAAAATAAGTTAGTAGTATCCTCCCTAATAAAGAAACTAATATTTCATTTTAGAGTATATCCTTTCCTGTGTGCATGTATTCAAACATGTATGACAAAATAAGCACAATTTTTCCGCCATCCCTTTCATTAAAATAAGTGAGATCATAGTAGATATATGAATAAGTAACTTGCTTTTTTTCACTTTACAAATCATGCCCATTCAGTACACCTGGTGTAGGTATCAGGCCTCTAGTAGTTGTTCAGATACTTATTGAATGCAGATCAATATGTACGTATACTCTTTAGTTTAATATATGTACATGTAATTTAGTAAACCATTTTTCATTTGGATTTACAGTTTTTCATTTTTTGCTATTAACAGTGTTGCAATAAACATGTTTGCACACATTTGTAACAATCATGCTTTTTTTTTGTAGGTTAGATTTTAAAATGTGGGTTGTTGGGTAAAGAGCAGATGCAATTTTATTTTAGCAGATACTGCCAAAATATTTTAAACAAAGGTATTAGTCATTCATAACCATACTTGCAGTTTTTGAGAGTGTCTGTTTCCTTACTGACACTGGATGCCATCAAGTTTTTAAAAACTTTTGCCACTCTAATGGGGGACAGCGATGTATCTTTGTTGTAATTTGGATTTGCTTATCACTAGTAAAGCTGAACACATTTTCATATATTTATTTTACCCAGTTTAATATTGGATTATTTGTTCTTTTCTCATTTTATTGTCGTTCTTTGTGTATTGTCTTATATACTACAGATAATTTCCTCCTACCATATTGTGATTTTTATTTTGTTTTTAGTTAATCTTTTTTAGATGCCTTCTGGAAAGTCTTTTTTTTTTTTTTTTTTTTGTCTTT